GTATAATAAACTTAAATGTTACTGTCACAATGAAAAAAAAAAAAAAAGGCTACTTTTCCCACCTAACTGAAAAGGTCAATAATAGACCATATTTTGTCAATAATCACAATGTCCTGTCACTAAGCCTTATTAGTCACATAATAGTAAATAGTAAATAGTCACAGGCATAGTAAATGCTTTGGGAAGGGAGTTTCTGGTGACTTTAAAGATCTTAGCTACGTGTGATGACACCAGGATTTGGGCAAAAGAGGCAGAAGGGTCAATGCAAGTTCCAGGACATCCCAGTCTATAACTGGAGTCCCAGGCTGGCCAGGCACTGGTGGCACCTGCTTCTAGGGACAGCACTCTGGAGGCAGAGGCAGGTGCATGTCTGTTCTATCAAGGACAGCCTGGTGTACAGAGCTGAGTTCCAGGATGGCCAGGGCTGTACTGAGAAACTCTGTCTAAACAAAACAAAGCACCAAAAAAGTCAAACCAAACAAAACCGAAAACTACAATGGTATATAAATCCACTTCTATAATTTTCAGGACTACTCCACTGAAAAGGGATTTCAAGTAGGAATGAGGGCATACAATTTTCCTGCTCTATTTTTATTCTTTTATGTGTATGGGTGTATGTCTACCACATGTATGGCCGGTGCCCCTGGAGACCAGAAGACAGTACCAGATCCCCTACAACTAAAGTTAAATGGTTGTAAGCCATCATGTGGGTGCTGGGAATTGAACCCAGGTCCTCTGGAAGAACACCAGTGCTCTTAACCTCTGAGACAACTTTCCAGCCCTTAGGATATATAATTTATAACCAATATATATATATATATATTCTATTAATAGAATTATATGCATCATTTGTACGTCACAAGAATCAGAGATTCATGCATTTGGAAGGAACCTTGAGTCACCCGGTTTAAACCCAGCCCTGGTGTCAAGTATCTTTAATCTCAGCAGCTGTAAGGCTGAGGCACAGGTTCAGGACCAGCCTGAGCAAGAAGCTCAGGACAAAAGTTGCCTTCCTAGCTCACCCCTCCCATTTACCATCCAGACGGCAATGGGACGGCAGCCAGCAGCTGAGGACAGAAGTAGCAGGCGTGCTGCGGGAACCAGCCCTCGGAATGTAACGCAACTAGAGGCCGCTTCAATATGGGACCCTGGGTGGCCGCTCACCAGAACACTACTCTGGTCTAGTATGTCAACTTGCCTCAGTGTGAGTAATTTTCAGGTTTCAAGGCTTTAAACTTGTTTCAAAACAAAAGAAATTAGAAACCATATTGCAGGTTGATTTTAATGAACAACAACAAAAAACTATATATTAAAAATCTAAGCTTTATCAAATACTTCAAAACACACACACAGATTCAAAATCAACACAGAATCTTTAAACATTCTTTGTTCATCTCAACAAAATCTGAAAAAATTTCTGGATAAAACTTTACTGTGGCCTGACAGTGGTACCGCCTTTAATTCTAGCACTTAGAAGACGGATCTCTTGAGTTTGAGGCCAGCCTGGTCTACACAGCCAGTTCCAGGACAGCCAGAACTACACAGAGAAACCCTGTCTTGAAAAACAAACAAATAAACAAACAACAAAAGACAAACAAAAAACTGTACATGTGAAAAAAATACCCACAGTGTTTTAAAATTCTGTGTGTGCACACGGAAATCCAGTCATTTGGAAGGCAGAATATAAACACAGTGTGAGTTTGAATGGAAAAAGAATATATTTTTTGTAAAGTTTACATAAAAACACTATGCCAAAGTAAGACTGTAGGAGCAGCTGTAACAGGCCACTGTTGAAACAGCTTGAGGATGCACTCAGGAACAATAAACTTGGAACACACTTGTCTCTCCCACAGCTCTGAGCGGGCACTATGGTGTCTGTCTGGTTTTGTAGGTCTGGAGGATCGTTATTTAGGCATGCTGTCCTCCTTCGGAGGCTAATCCATCAGTTTCCACACGGCTCCAGGGAGCAGAGATGGTGAGCACAGGCGACAAGGGTGGCATTCCGTGTCAGAGACTGGGAATAGAGGGCCCAGGAGCAGCCACCTGTCCCCTGGCAAGCTGTATCACCTCTGTACCTCCTTATCTTCAGTTGGCTCACTCTGCACCTCAGTTGTTTTGGGTCTCCTGAGGGGATGAGAACAAGATAATCCTTCTACAGGATTTATCATTCTTCCTACCCCAATAAATACTAGCCCAGAACACTCTCAGTTGTGATATCACAGGTGAATCAAAATCAAAGTCCTGAGACTGTCTTAACAGAAAAGAGGGGCCTGCTGGAGCTCGGCTGGAGGAGGGCTTGACTAGCTCATGTGAGGCTCCGGTGCAAGCCCAAGCCTGCAGAAACAGGCAAGGTGGCAAACACAGCTCTCGGGAGGTAGAGGCAGGAACCTGAGACCCTGCCTCACAAAAAAGAAAAAGGGGGGGGGTGAGGAAAACTTCTGTATTTCTCCTCACTGATGAAGCCGTCAGTTGTGAGCAAAGCAGAGCTGACAATGCCCGATACAAACGAGGCTGGTAACTTCGGTCTGTGAATACAGATGCTCACTTTCGTATTAGAGAAATGTCAGAGTTCTACGTCACAAAAGTGAGCATCTTCCCATTACATATCACACTCTCACCACCACTGTGCTCTCCACACACCCTAGTGACGGGGAGCTCTCACTGGCATTCAACAGGGGCCAGACACTAGGAACTGCCGCTGAACCCCATGTCTGGAGTGATCTGAGGAGCCACTGCAGGGTGTTGGCTGGGATGCTACTTTAGAGCCTGGTCGCCCTGCACAGCACCCCAACATCCAGATGAGCAGGTTCCTGAAGACCTTCAATCTCCAGTCACGTCCCCTTCAAAAGGGCAGTCATCCAGAGGTGAAGGAAGCGACAGCCAGTAACTGTGGAATGCTCCTCCTACTTCAGAATGACATGATAGCTATCGCTGGTGTCTGCTGCAAAGAGAGAGAGAAGGGTGATCTTTAGCCTCCTTTGAAACAATAAGGGAAAACTATCTTGTGAAAGGGAATAAAAAGTCCAGTTGGATAGCCAGGTGTGGTGGCAGAAGCCAGCCCACACAGGCAGAAGGTAGAACAAAGACATAATTACAAGCTTGTACTTTTCCTGGGCCAGAGACACGCAGAATGATGCGCCCTTACAATAGTAGGCAGTGCCAACAAGACAATTACATCAGACACAAGCTCGCCAGGAGAGAACACTGGTCCTCTACAATGTACTATGCCGCACAGCAATAGCGTTAGAAAGATTAGGCGCACTGAATGCTTTACACACAGTTATAATTATGCTTATTTTTGGGGTGGTGCCGTGGCATGTACTTAGAGATCAGAGATGTGTGGGAGTTGGGTCTTCCCTTCCAGCATGTGGACTCCAAAGAGCTGAGTCGTGGGGCTGGGAACTGGACAGCTTCCCTCCTGAGCACCCACCATGCTTTGTACTGTAGAGTGTGTTTCTTTTGTGTGCTGCCTGCATGTACGTCTGTGTGGCACATGCGCACCCACGGTGCTCTCAGGCCAGAGAGGGACCCCGGAACTGTAGCCACGGCCAATTACCCTCCTCCTAGTATGGTGCTGGGGACACACCTGGGTCCTCCGCACGAGCTCTTGACCTCTAAGAGCCCTGTTCGGCCCCTGTTCATCTGGTTTTGAGATAAGATCTTATGTCGCCCAGGCTTGCTTCAAATTCACTTGAACTCACTATTCTCTTCTCTCTACTCCCTAAGTTCTGGAAGTATGAGCTTGTGCCACTATATGTGGCTTTTAAAGACTTTTTTTGGGGGGGGCAACAGGGTCTATGTAGCCTTGGCTGTCCTGGAATTGGCTGTATAGCTGAGGGTAGCCACAAACTCACAGAGCTCTCCAGGCCTCTTTCTTCTGAGTGCTAGGATTAAGCATTAGTGACTTTCAGCATTTTTTCCATTGGGCTTCTCAAGATGAGACCTCCCCATAAATTAAAAAATATGTATAAAAACAACCTCCATTTCCTCAGTTGCTAAAGGAAGATGAAAGAATGGTAGAGTTGCCAAGTGTCCTTTCCTCTAATAAGAAGCCACTTCACACAAAGAACAATGTCCAATAATGACTCTCCTACCTCAAATACTCTTCCCATCTCCTCCTCAAGGAAGGAAAATACATCCCTGGGAATGATGTGCCTTTGATCCAAGCACCTGGGAGGCTGAGGTGTTTCTGCTGGTCTGAAGCCAGCCTACATTCCATAGAGAGTATATATTAAAAAAAAAAAGGGGTCTCTAACTTTACCTCAAAAAAGGTAAAACATTAGATATATTTTTGTTTTAGAATTGCAATCAATCTCAAGGCCTGTGTATGCTAAGCAAATTAAACCCAAGTTAAAGCCCACAGTCTGAAAAAAAACCCTCAAAACTCCTTACAAAGAGAGTGGGTAAGAGCTGTCCTTGACCACGTAAAAGTGCCCTGCACTGGCAGTGAATGCTTCTGCCAGTGCTGGGACAGCAAAGGCAGGCGGATGGAAACCTGAGTTTCATGGCCAGCCAGTCTAGCCTGGGCAAGTCCAGGCCAGTGACAGAGCTTGTCTCCAAAAAAAGAAAACAAAAAACCCAAATAGGGCTGGAAAGATGGTGAAGAGCACTTGTCCTTGGAGAGGACCTGAGTTCAGTTTCCAGCACTGAGCTGACCACCTCAGCCCCTGCTGGACTGTATGCATGCCACATACACTCAGGCACACATACGTGTACAAACACACTACACACAAACACTTTCTTTTTTTTTTTTTTTTGAGACAGGGTTTCTCTGTGTAACAAGCCCTGGCTGTGCTGGACTCTTGTAGACCAGGCTGGCCTCAAACTCACAGAGATCTGCCTGCCTCTGCCTCGTGAGTGCTGACACTAAAGGCGTGTGCCACCATTCCCGGCCCTAAATTATGTTTTTTAAAGGTGGGGGCAGGAGAGTGTCTCAGTGGGTGCTCTTGCAGGGCACCACAGAGGACCACAGTTCAATTCCTGGCACCCACATTCACAGTATCTCTAACTATGCTCCAGGGTATCTGAGGCCCTTTTCTGGCCTCTAGGGCATTATGATATTCAGGCAAAACAGACACACACATAAAAATAAAAAAATTAAATATAATTTTGGTAGCTTTATATTAAAATAGGAAAGAGAAATTAAAAAGGTGGACAGCTCTAAAGCAGCACCTGAGGCTGTCTCTAGCTGCACACTTAGAGAGACACTTACCTTGGGTTAGCAGTAAGATCAATGTATCTTACTGATACTCACTGCCAAACCTAATGACCTGAGTTTGGTTCCTAGGACCCATATGGCGGAAGGACAGACCAATTTTGCAGGTTGTCCTATGATCTGTACGTGCCATGACCACAATATGTGATGACCCACCTCACATACACCCTGACAAACAAGACCTGTGAGAGTATGTTTATTACCTTCCATTGTGTCCAGAATAAAGCAGGCTTCTTCCTGAAAGTTCTGCACCATCTGAAAAGAGCAACACGGTTTGCTGATCAGCGCCCAGGGTTTGCAGTTTGTTTTGAATATGACACTGTACTGAAGCACACGGAGACATCACGCTCAGGACTAAGCTGCTCAACTTTAAGAATAGCCCTGTGGCTCCAGCTTAGTTCCAAGGGACCCACTAGTCAGCAAGAGTCCGTGAAGCTCCAAAGCCAGAAGAGCTAACTCTGAATGCTACCTTCATATTGCCTACTCTGGAAGGTATTGGCAACATCTGAAATTCAAGAATATTTCAAAATAAATCCTAATTTTACAAAACTAAAGTAGAACAGCTTTACTAGACCCTTCCTTCGAAAACAATAGAACAAACAAGGCACTTTGGAAAATGTGGTGCTAAACAAGTCATGGTAAAAAAGAAATATACTTAACTTCCACCTCAAATAGGCCCCTTTCTGCTCCACAGCCTCAAAGAAAGGCAGAGGACATCTCATAATCAGCACAGGGCAACCACTGCCCCTGTAAACTCTACCAGTGGATGGTGGGCACCTCAGAGGATTTGGGAGGCAGGACTAAAGAAGCTGGAGTCTTTCTTTTTAAAGACTTATTTCACATGTTCTATTGTTTTGTCTGCCTGCTGATCCCTGCACCACAGGCGTGCCTGCTGTCCGCAGAGGTCACAAGAGGTATTGGGTCCCCTGGAACTGGAGTTGCAGTAGGTCTTGAGCAAGCGTGGGTGCTGGGAACTGAACTTAGGTTCTCACAGAGAAACAAGTGCTATAAAGCACTGAGCATTTCTCCAGCCTCTGACAGATTCAGTCTTTAGACTGACACCAAGGGACGAGGCCCTCCGCTCTGACATGTAATGAGGCCTGCAGACCCTGCGTGTGAACTTTTCTACGGGAGGATCACAAGCACCAGGCTCTCCTGGACTGCGGACATGGCCCCAAGCTCTGGGCTCCAACCCCAACACTGCAGAGGACAAACCAAGCAAAGCCGCTTGTTTGGCTGCTCTCGGACCCCTGCAGCCTCCCTGCCTCTCCCACCGGAGGCTCGTTTGCAGGAGAGGGTTTGCAGGTCACATAAATGAGAGTTTCAAGGACTTCCGTAGAATCATGTGTTTTCTTCCCGATTTTCAAAAGCCTGTTAATGTTTTTACAGTTCCTATTGTGACACATGAAAGTTTCATTATGACATTTTTGTAAGCATGTGTATGACATTCCCTTGGGGGCTGAGAGCATGGCTGCTCCTCCAGGGGACCCAGGTTGACCAGAGTTGGTTCCCAACATCAAATGGCATCTACAGCCATCTGTAACTCTTCTTCTGGGGGGATCCAGCATTTGCTCTGGCCTCCACACACAACTGCATTCACTAGGCATATCCCCACATATGCAAAATTAAAAAGCTAAAAGTCTCTAAAAACAGCAATTAATTTTGATCATATTCGCCACCTATTATCCTCTGTTGTCTCCCTCATATTCAGGCTAATCTCTTGCACCTACATGGTTCTGTTATCTGATGAGCCAATGAGGCTGCTTGCAGAAGGACGGGTGAGGAGTTCTTTATGGGAGCATGCAAGTCCCCAGGGCCACACCTCTGAAGAAAAGGTCTCCTCCTCGCTCTAAAACCATAACTGCCTAGATCCTTGGGGAGGGGTGGGGCTATGAGCTTTTCCTCCTATAGGTTCTGTGTGGCAGGACCTCATGAGCCTCCATGATGGGAAGTGAAAAAGCCCAAACGGAAGCAGGTAGCCTCAGTTGCCGAGACAGCTACAGGGCATAAGAGCCATGCCATAAGGAAACCTGGGGTTCTGGACAAGTTCCTCTCCAAGGCCATCTAAAACAGTGGTTTTAGAAGAGGAAACAGGAGTACATGCTTCCTTGGGTGAGCCAACACCTTAGAAGAAGCACTTTGCAAGATCTAGCAAAGATATTAAAAGGCCCACAGAGGCCTGACAACCAGACCTCCAAGTTAGACATGTATTCTTTCCTAAAATCTCCCTAATTTCCCTCCTCTACTTACCTTTCTCAAACCTCCATTTTTTTTTTTTTTTTGTTTTTGTTTTTTTCTTTTAATAAAACAAGAACAGGAGCCTCACACTTCCAGAGTCCTATTTACGGGCCAAACATAAGGTCCAGGCATGGGTGTTTTCCTGGCATGTTCAAGCCCCAGCACCGTAAGATAAAGAAGAAAGCTAGCCGGACTCCTACCATGGTGCCCTGTCTGAGGCATAAATGTCTCAGTGCAAAGGCAGGACTACAAAGATGAAGTTTTATAAGGAGAATAAACCCACACGTGAGCGGCATGGTGTCTAACTCAACAGTGACCGAATCACAGTTGACAAAAGATGGATGACTTGAAGCAACACCATTAATGTAATTTTTTTGGTACACAACTTAGAAGTTCAAAAATTAAACAAAACCAACCCCAGTGACACTGTTACGGCAACAGCGCACCTGGTCCATTCTGTCAACTAGAAATAAAGCTCCACAGCGCTCGCCTCCAGAGGCAGAGAGCAGGACAGAGCCGGCGCTGACTCCGTGTTTTCAGTTAGGGCAGCGCTCCACTACAGGTCAGCCAAGCATGTGCCAGCATGGGCCGAGGGAACTGACGCATGACTAGGGCTCGGCCGAGGCGTAGTTGGTACTAGTGGCCTATCCTGCAAGGGGCCCTGGGTTTGAGCCCAGCACTGCATCAACGGGGCATGATGCTCCTGCACGCTGTCATCGTGGCCTTTGGAAGACAGAGGCAGGGGGACCAGGAGTTCAGATCATCCTCGACTCCACTCTGAGTTTGAGGCCAGCGTGCTGTTTGTGAGACAGCAGTCTTCGAGAAAAACAAAACAGAACAAAATTAAGCACACTCACACAAAAGAGAGCCATGTAATTTCTTAAGGTCTTAAAGGGCCACACCCAGTGCCTTGTGTCTGCTAAGCGTGTTTTACCTCAGAGCTACACATCAACACTTCAACTTAACTTTTCATAAATAGTGACTTGTTTTTCGTCACCTTTGTAAGTGTGATAATTCTACTCAGAAGAAATGTTTTCAGCTTCTATTGAAGCAAGTTATTTGGCTGAAACAAATTGCTTTAAGAAGTACAGCAGAACAAAGATTTTCAAGCATTAAAAACTAAAATTAAAAACTCTGGGAGGGGCTGGAGGGTGCTTGCTGTTCTTCCAGATGACCCAAGTTCAGTTCCTCCCCCGTCAGGCAGCTCACACCACCTGTAACAGCAGCTCCAGAGACTCTGATACGCTTTCTGGCCCACACATGCACCTTTGACCTTCTTTCGATACAAGGCTAGACTTGAATACAAAACCCTGTCTCAAAAACGTATAGCCATAAGGACCGAAAGGAGTGGAAAAGATGGCTAGGTCACAGTAAAAGGCTTGCTGTATAGCGCGAGTTAGGGCCCGAGTTCGCATTCCTAGCACCCTAGAAAACACTGAGCACAGCGGCACACGCAGGAAGCCAGCAGATCCTGGAGCTCCATGGCCAGCCATGGGCCCAGCAAGCTTCAGGTTGAGTGAGAGAGCCAGTGTGAAAACTAAGGTAGAGAGCGACAGGGGAAAGCACCCTAATAAACCTCTGGTCTCCACAAGCGCATGCATGGGAGGGAACACACCTGAACGCACATCGCGTTCACAAACAAAGCACACTCAATGTTAAAATTAATAATTGTATTAAATCACTAAAATCTGTTTTGTTTTATTTTACTTTGAGACAGGGTTTCTCCCTGTAGCCCTGGCTGGCCTGGTCTTGCTTTGTAAACCAGGCTGGCCTTTGTAAACCACCACTCCCCAAGTGCTGGGATTATAGGTGTGCACCACCACTCCCAGACCATTTAAAATTTGTTTTAGAATCTGAATGCTTTGCCTGCAAGCACGTTTATGTATCCTGGGCCTGCCTGGTGCCCATGAAGGTCACGGGAGGGTGTCAGACCCCTGGAACTGGAGTTATGGATGGCTGTGAGCCACCAAGAGGGCGCTGGAAATCAAATTTACATCCTCTGACAAAGCTCTAGCTCTTAGATTACTCTTGTAATCTGACCTCAGTTCCAGTACTGGGACCAGACAATGACTTGATTGGGTTAAAAAGAATATAGTCAGAATAGCAGCAAGCTCTCTCTTTTCCTCTCCCTCAGGCAGGCACTGAAAAGGCTGTGGCCAGGGATGACACTGAGCTCCTGATCCTCCTGCCTCTACCTTCCAAAGGTTGGAGCTATAAGAAACATCATGTCTCCCAGTTTAACATGTATGTGAGTGTGTTTGTGTGCACACGTATACAGCTTTTACATTTTCCCCCCAAGTGATAAATTTTTTTTAATTTTTTATTAATTACACTTTATTCATTTTGTATCCCCCCATAAGCCCCTCCCTCCTCCCCTCCCGATCCCACCCTCCCTCCCCTTTCTGCATGCATGCCCCTCCCCAAGTCCACTGATAGGGGAGGTTCTACTCTCCTTTCTGATCTCAGTCTATCAGTTCTCATCAACAGTGGCTGCATTGTCCTCTACCATGGCCTGGTAAGGCTGCTCCCCCCTCAGGGGGAAGTGATCAAAGAGCAGGCCAATCAGATTATGTCAGAGGCAGTCCCTCTTCCCATCACTATGGAAGCCACTTGGACACTGACCTGCCATGGGCTACACCTGTGCAGGGGTTCTAGGTTATCTCCATGAATAGTCCTTGGTTGGAGTATGAGTCTCTGGGAAGTTCCCTGTGTTCAAATTATCTTGTTCTGTTGCTCTCCTTGTGGAGTTCCTGTCCCCTCCACTTCTTACATAAAATTCCATTCACTCTGCCCGTCAGTTGGCCATCAGGCTCAGCGTCTGCTTTGACAGTCTGTACTGCAGAGGCTTTCAGAGGCCCTCTGTGGCAGGTTCCCAGGTTGTTTCCTGTTTTCTTACAGTTATTTAGACTCATTTAAGTTGAGCTAAAAGCGTACAAAAGATACATATAATTTTGTGTGTATACCCATATGTGCGTATGTGTGTGTGCGGTGCATATGCGTGTGTGTGAGGCTATGACACAGAGAGCTCAAGCATCACTGCCCACCTGTTTTCTAAGGAGGTGTCTCCGCGAGCCAGAAGCTCACTCCCTGATCCAGGCCCGCCAGCTAGGGTGGCAGAGTGCAAGCTATAGTGGTCCTCCTGTGTGAGGCTACAGGCACGTGGCACAGAAAACACTCATAAATGCTGAGCCACCTCTCCCTCTCCAGTTTTTGTGTTTTGCTGTTTTTGACTCCATCTCACCTAGGCCAGGTGGGCCTTGAACTTGTGTAGCCAGACATGAACTTAAATTCATGCTCTTCCTGCCTCCACACTCCTCTGTGTTGGGGCTACAGGGGCATTACCACCCCAACTGTATTCCTAATTTTCAAAACTAGGAGGTAAGCAAAACAACAAAATCCAAGTCAGACATAGTGGTTCACATCAACAGTCCCAGCTACCCAGGCAGGATGCTGAGGCAGGAGGGTCATGTGAACCCACAAGTTCAGGGTCAGTCGGGCCAAACTAGCAAGAGGGTATCTGTTCAAAAGGATTACAATTAAAGAGCTGAAGCTCCCTGTCAAAGCTCAGGCTCCCTGGCTCAGGCCTGGAGGAAGTGCTCTTGGTCCCGCCAGGGCCCTGAAAACCGTGGTGCAGCACTCCCGGCTGAGACTGACCTCATCGCTGATGAGCACGTGGATCCCCGTTGGGCCTTGCTTGTAGATCTGGCTGATCTGCTGAGGAGAAATACTGAAGAGCTGAGCGAGTTTTTCCGTTAACTCAACCGCTGTCAGCTCTTCTAGGTAGATAGCATGGTACACTGCAAAAGACAGGACGGCAGTCAGTGCAGGGCCACCTGCGCCTGCAGCTTGTCCTGCCTCAGTTGCCCTTTCTCCGTAGGAACCAGGAACTCAACAGCCCCGGGCACTTCCTCTGTGCCACACTGGAGACAAGGTGAAGACACACAGCAGACACTAGCTGAAGCATACACGAAGTGCTGGGAACAGCACGCGGCACAGGTTAAGAGCTCAAGCAACGTGAGCAGCTGGCCTCACTGGTCTAGACTCTGACACAGCTGCCATGAGCCAACTCTTTTCCTTTCTTCCTGCCCTGCTCTGCCCAGGACAACCTACCGAAGAAAGTACCATTTGAATCTCCATCTTCCTGCTTCTGTTGTGGTTGCTGCTGCTGCTGCTGCTGTTCCCTCAACTGCAGCGACTCCTGACAGACATAAATGGTTAGCCTTGGACGCACCATCCTACGTGGAGAAGAGAAGGGACTCTCAGCTTTACAATATTTTCCACATGGACACATCCACAGGGAGGAGCTCAGTCCCGACATCACTGGTACAGCAGAGATGAAATCTAATGCTCGGGCCAAAAGCAATTTGCCTGTTTCCTCATCTCTGAGTGTTGGGTTTTGTTGCTGAAGCTTATTAGTTCCAACAGGAGGCGCCATGTAAGCATCTAAACTCTGGCTTTCCCTGAAAGTTAGGTGTGGGGCCAGGGCACGGGACCAGAAGCAGCCTGCCACTCTGGCCAGCTTCAGGCCCTGGGTGCCACTCTGTCAGCACTAAGGGAAGAGAACACCACTGCTGGCTTAGGCCTGGCAATTCAGGGTCCTCATCCTCCCAAAATTTCTACCTAAACTCAAGACTTTATCGACCTTTACATGACCATGTAGTTCCTGCAGTCACTTGAGTTTGTGAGCTTTGGAATAAAATAGTTAGAAATATTCAGAGTGCAAAAGTCACTCTTTTATGTAAGGGTCAGGATCTAGATATACTAGTTAAGAAATATTAACGTACGATGGGCAAGATGGATCATCCGGTAAACATTCCTGCCACTTGAATTTAATTCCTGAGACCCATATGCTGTGTGTGTGTGTGTGTGTGTGTGTGTGTGTGTGTGTGTGTGTGTGT